AGAATATGTCGTGATGATGAAAACTAACAGCATGTGATGAGTTTTCTAAATTATATTACCCTCTATTTATCGATCGAGGGGTAAATCATTGAGACTATTCTAATGCTTTTAAAACTATATGCTTTTATCATAACATCTCGGTATTGCAGCTGCTCCTTGCATTTAAAAATCTTAAAGTACGTTGAAAACGCATAGAAAAAATCATTAAATTAGAAAATAATGATCTATGCCTGATCACTCATTCCTGGACAGAAAATCCCTCTGATCGGGAGGTCCTAGGATCGAGTCCCGTCAGTGGTAAGATTTTCGACACAAGCTTGTCAGTCGATGAAGAGACTTCTAGTGGCTGGCTGCTCTATTCGGTAGTTTTCCGTGGTTTCTCCGATCAACATCAGGTGAATGTCGGAGCAGTAACCTAACAGACGGGCCACGGACCGTGAGCGATCTTTCGTACCTCTTCCTTGTCCTATCCTCACCACTTACACACTCTCACACGTACACTACCACACATGCCGGGAGACCGGTCGGGAGCTTAGAGCTTGTCCCGGCGATAGCCCAGCCAACATAGCCGAGGGTAGGTCTCGCCACACAGAGAGGGAAGACGACAGCTACCTCCTGAGTAAAACATGCACTATATTTACGGGACTAAATACCTTTGTAGATCACGCCCCCGTAATCACTATTAATCAGTCAATCTGAACAGAAAATGTTAAACATGGCCCTTCTTGTAATCCTAAAAATGTGTATCTACCTCCGTTCAGTATCAAACTAGGATTATTAGAGAATTGCCTCAAAGGTAAAGACAATACTCCTGATTTCACGTACTCTAAATGGCAATTTTGTAAACCTAGTATTGAAAAATTAAAGAATGTATAGTCGTTGTTTATTTACAGCCATGCAGTAGAAATTCAAAATTGTGGTCACTGAATTTGATCGGGTAGCTTCAGGCATAAAATCATTGGGTTTGCCAACGTTTCGGGATATTTTTATTTTATCATCAGGCTTATTTCTCGAAAGATTGAAAATGATGGTTACCTCGCATAGACATGCATAGCAAAATTCAAAAAACAACTATGCATGAGTGGTTACGGGATGGGGGTCCATCCCATTAAAGTCCACCTCAAGCCAAGACACAGCAATGCATTTTTCACATGCCCTAGTCACCATATACCCTGCTGTAAACTTTGTTGTTTTTTTTGGTAACTTTATTAGTCTTTAATAACGCAGGTCTGGACGGGTCTTTCTACACCATTTAAAACTAATCCTCGAATTTATAAGAACCAAATATTTATTTCAACAAAATTACATTTCTTAAAGTTTTCCCATAGTGCGTGGCAATTAAAACTAATAACGCAGCTAAAACTCGATAAAAGCCTTTAAGAACCAGGGCGCACTCAGGAACACCGCTCCATTTCACTCGAAAGTTCAAATTGAAAGTCCGCATGGTGCGTTTCCCCAGGCATGGCCACAACTCTTCGAACAGCCAAGATTCTCCTAACGCAACACTGACTATACTTAGATTTTTTTAAGTGACCGATGACATTAGATCATTATTACATCTCTTGCCTTATAAAATGAATCTTTTTAACAGTGGTTAGAATATTTCTGATTTCACGGGCCCCATACAGAAGGACATTTTCGAGTTCCTTAAAAATATTCATTTTATAGGTCAGGAGGTCTAATGTCATCGGCCACTTTAAGAAATAGAAATATAGGAGCGCTTATCGCAGAGCAAAAGAATACGAACTACTACGGCAGGTTGAAAGACAGCTGACGGCGAGCTCTGAATTCAGTGCGCTACTATTAGTGATACCTTTGTTATCTTGCCATTGTTTTATGACGGCTGTTTTGAAAGCAACATTGTTTAAGTACGATTTATATTTTGATTAATTATCCAATTCTTATCTGAAATATTCAAAACACAATATTTTTATTCTTTGCATGCTGGTCGCCTCACCACTGCTGTATAATCTATTCTATAATATTTCTATATCCCGGTTCATCTAAGAGTGGTGTCTGAGACCCAAGCGAGTGTATTTCGTTTCTCGAAAGAGTTGCTGTCCTTTGACTTTCTTCTTCACAGAAATTAAATTAGTTGAGTTTATGGTGACTTTCATTGTCAGAGCTCGTTGAGGGATTTATTACAGGAAATAGACTTGGCAATAGGTGTGTCGAGGTCCCCTGCCCCACACCAAAAGTCAAAACAAAACTAAACAAAATATAATTATGTGAAATATCTTCGTCTGTTTAACATGAAGTAACTCTAGTGAAAGGAATCATTGAAACAAATCGGGCGTTCGCATAAGTTTGTGACAGTCTCATTTCTCTACTAACCGATATCCAGCACAATCAGGCTCATAAAATTAGGTCATATTAAACGAGCAGTGATGTCGGAAAAATCTCTTAGAATTACGAACTAAATCCGACAATTAAGAACAAGGCGATTTTGTTTTCATCGTTAGATTTTCTAAAAATTGAAATGTATTTCTGATGTCCCGCAAATTCCCCTGTGTCGTTTGTGTAAGAAAGCAGTGTGTACCTGCAAAGTGAACGCATTTTTTATTTAGTATTTGGTAGGCGAACATTCGTGTGGTGCCCGCTCGGCTCGAGACGTGAATGACCTTACCGCGCGCGAGACTGCGCGTGCGGTCGCGACCCGGACCTCGGCCGGGGCGTCGTGCTCCGGAGCGACAGCCGCAGCCTGGAGCGCCGCAGCGCGTGGCTCCGGGTGGCTCCGCGTGGCGGGGTCTGGGCGCCGCGTGGCGGGGTCTGGACATGGCGTGGCAAGGGTCTGGGCGTGGCGTGGCGGGGTCTGGGCGTGACGTGGCGGGGTCTGGGTGTGGCGTGGCGTGGCCGTGGGTGGCGGGTCTGGGGTGCGTGCGTGGCGTGGCGTGGGGTCTGGTGTGGCGTGGCGGGGGTCGGCGTGGCGTGGCGGGGCTGGCGTGGCGTGGGGGGCTCGGGTGCGTGGCGGGGGTCGGCGTGGCGTGGCGGGGGCTCGGCGTGGGCGTGGCGGGGGCTTCGGGTGGCGTCGGGTCCTCGGCGTGCGTGGCGGGGGCTCGGCGTGGCGTGGCGGTGGCCTCGCTGGCGTGGGCGGGGCCTCGGCGTGGCGTTGGCGGGGGCTTCGGCGGTGGCGTGGCGGGGCTCGGCGTGCGTGGGGGGGCTGGGCGTGGCGTGGCGGGGGCTCGCGTGGCGGGGCCGGCGTGGCGGGGCTTCGGCGTGGGCCGGTTGCGCGCAGGCCAGGCGTCGGGGGAGCGTCGCGGCGGCATCCGGCGCCGGACGGAGCCGGTTTGCATCCCGGAGCGCCGCCGCGCGTCCGGCCAGCACTTGCTGCTACGCCGGCGACTAACCGGGCGGTGATGGGAGTAAACACAGGGCTCGGGCGGCGCGGTGCACAAGTTTCAAGATGACAAAAAAAAATGCTAGCGGAATTATTTCATTCGTGCATAGCTATGAGTCTTGCTTGTTTGAATTGACGGATGTTGCAGTTCAGGTCCTGAAGAATACGAAAAAGCATGTGTGGTAAAATGTTTTTATTAAGAGGCTTAACCTACGGGGGCGATGTCCTCGACGTGTAAAAATTGATTATAGGAACTGATGTAACGGATATTTTGTATATCCATTACATCAGTTCGATACATCAATGAAACTATGTAAATGGATATTTTATGCTAGGGAATTGAAGGGCTGTTAACTCATTGAACGTAAAGAGGTGGATTACATTTCTAGCGACCACTAGTTTGGGTTCTTGGCTTCTGATTGGTTCTCTAGGCACGTTACGAAACTTGAACCAATAGGGATGAGTTGTTCGATCTCAATAATTCACCCAAGTGCGGAGTGTTTAGTTCACCGTAAATGATTTCAATGTATTTCGTTCTGAAACATCTACATTAATAATATTCCTTTGGCTCCTCCACAAAGCTATATTGCTACCACACCTATACAACGATCGTTTTTCACACAATCCTTTAACAATCTTAAGGTTTCACATAGACCTTACAGTCTGTCGCTGTAAACGCACCGAAAGACATGTTCAAACTGATAGATACAATCTTTCATGAAATTGTACAATGCATCTACATTCGTAAAAATAATTTGAAACCACGAACAGTCCTCAGGTCAAGAAATTCTTGCCGATATTTTGTAATTTTTAGTTGTTACTGACACTGGCTTCTCTAAAACCTCATCCGTGCGTTTCACTAAAACCTCATCCGTGCGTATTAAAATTTTGGTATGGACATCAAAATATCAGAAAGTGGAAATCGAAATAAAACCGCAAATTCCTAGTCTTCTACTACGATACATTATGCATAAACTATGCATATTTTAAATTTGAAAACCTTAATACTTTGAAACGGAGGTGTGGAGGTGATCGAACTGTAGCTAAATAAACTACATAATTTCTGTTCATACCGCCTACTAATGTCAATTCACGTAATTTTCGCTTTTTCCTGATTGCCAAGAGGAGTTCAGGAGTGGCGTTTAGTTGGACCCACACTGCTGCAAAAAAGGCGGAGACTGCCCACAAAAAATTACCTGGCGCGCGCCAGGTGATAAATTTGGCGGATTACACCGTGTGGGAACTTCCTCTTGCCAACCTTGGCTTCGCTTCACACGGTTTCTTTCAGCAGTCTTCAGACGCGAGAGTATTTTGCAGTCTGGTTGTGACGTTGGTAGTGTTGTCCGTTAGGTAGTTCTACAAAATGCTCATTAACGTAGCTGTTTTGAATTTTCAAGACTTGAGGAATGCTGCTAATCAACATGGAAGTTTCGAGGAAACGTTTCGAACATGTTTATAAAAGCTTCGCGTGTAAAATGTTGCTTTTTTTATATTCGCAATTTCCGCCCGGCCAGTTTGCTTCGTGGGAGTTTGTTGTCAAGAACCCGTTTGTTGTATTTTATATTAATCGAGCAATCATACACTTTAAGTTCGAGATTGTCCGGGAAAGACACGCTAAAATAGGTTCATCTATTCTTATTTATTTGTACACTTTTGTTGCAAAATGGGGAAGGTTTATCAACATTATATTTAGAAGAAGAATCCCCATACGATTTCCTTGGATACACTATTCATTTATTCCCGAAATTCAAAAACGAAGAATAAGAATAACATTATGAGAACATAAAAAGTATTAAATAAACTTTGAAGATAACATAAAAGTATAAGTAAATTTCTTTCGTTCCTTGGATACACAATGCAATCTACTTTAATGTGAATTCTACGGATTTTGTACCTCTGGGATGCATATTCTAATGAAATAATTGAGTCATTGCCAACAATATTGTTTATTACAATAGTAGCTTTCGATGGCCTAGCCAACATCAGTTTTCTAGTACAAGAAAAAAAAAGTACAAGAAAGTTTTCTAGTACAAGTTATTTCATTGTAAATGCCAACGAAAACTCACCACAATACCAATACATATTCTAATGTAATTCGTAAATTAATGCCTAAAATGGTAGCAAATGACCCCAGTTTTCGGTGAGATTATAAAGAAAAACATTTTCCTTATTGCACAGAAACCCATTGTGGTGTCGTCGGGTGCGAGTAACACACAGACACGGAGTTGTTTTATACAGTTTTATTTACAAGTTTTTATAC